TTTTTTTTTTTTTTTTTTTTTTTTTTTTTTTTTTAAAAAGGAATACAGTATGGGATTCAATAAATAGGAAAAAAAGTTACAAAATGATGCCAACTTTTTCCTTAATATACAGGAGAGAAGACAGGTTCATCTGGGGTGGAGGCTGTCCCTTTTCTTCCTCCCTGGGCCAAGGCCTGGGATAAAGGGACGCCTCTGTCAGCAGCTGGGACTTGAGAGAGGCAGAAATGGCTAAACTAAAGGAAGTGAGGAAACAGAAATGGCTGTGTAGAGCCAAAGGAAGACAGGGTGGGGGCCCTGGCTGTCTGCCTGTGCCTCCCACAACAGGTTGGAGGCAGCCTGGTTCCTGAGTTGTGTATCCAGTTACTAGTGGTGGGGTCCCGGGCAGCAGAGAGCTGTTCCCAGCCTACCCTGTGACCTTGGTGCCCAAAACAAGACAGGTCCTGGCTGGACAGCGTGTTTGGGGGTGAGGTATGTGGCAGAGGCTCAAGGCCTCTTGATATCCTTCAGTGGGGGTGAGGCATTGATTTGTGCTGGCAGCTTGGGCTGGGAGTTCAGGACAGTGGGACAGGACCCCTGAGCTGGAGGAGAGGGGAAGAAACACAGTGGGATTTAACTACCCTGATGTGAAGTCCCCAGGCACCCAGGTGGGCTCTGGAGGATCTGCTATACTGAATTTAAGAACTAATTTCTGGAAAGTTCTGCCTCTAGCCCTTGTCCTAGAAGCTCTAGCTAACCGTGTGAGTCTGGGAGAGCCAGAACTTGTCTCTTGCTTGTGGGGTGCCCAGGCACACACCCCCTGCAGGCCTCTAGTTAGCAGTATGGCTTCAGATCCTCAGATCTCCCATTTGTCTGCATACTCCTAGGCACACGCTTAGAATGGCGTCACCTCCTGCCTCCCACATTCCGTGACTTGATCCTCAAGTAACCACGGACCTCCTGCTTCAGGAAGGCAGGCCAGGGGATACCCATGCTCCCAGCTAGTTGCTGTCCCTCAGCCAAACCGCTCCCGAACCAAGAGCATCAGCTTCTTCTTCCCCTTGTAGGTCTGTTTAAGGTTCTCTAAGAACTGTGCGAACTGGAGGTGCCCATCTGGTGCCAGAAGGAAGGTCTCTCGCGCTTTGCCCAGGAACTCAATGAAGTCACCGTAGTGACGCGGGCTGATGTGGGTAAGTCGTGAGTGACTGGTGGTGATGTAGGCGGCTACTGCAGCATCCAGGAGCTGGCAAAGTGGTGCCCTGTCAGTCCCAAGTGGCTTGGTAGCCCTGCGGGCACCCAGTGGGCCCAGACCTGGTGCTGAGAGTGTCCAGCGGCGTAGGATGTCTGAGAGCATAGGTGCGCAGTGGATGCTGCGGATGATGAGAGGGACAATGGCTGACAACTCGTGCCGCCCCAATGAGTGGCTGAGTGAGCAGGCCCATAGCACGTCATTAACCGCAGGGTGGCTGTCTTGGTTGAAGGCAATGCTGAGTTGCGCTAAGGCTAGTGTGGCCAGCTTGTAGGCCCGCAAAGGTAGGCCTCGATGCTCCATGTATCGTGCCACTGTGAACAGATGGGCATGGCCAAGGCCACCAGCTGCAGCATCCAGCACAATCTGGTAGGCTGCCTCGAAGGCTGCATGATTCTTTTCACACAGGGTCAGGGCTGGCAAGGCGCAGTTCTGGGGGTCCTTCATGGCGCACTGCAGTGCCAAGGTGCGGGCACCGGCCCAGAGCTCCTCTCGCCCAGCTGTGTCTAGCTGCAGTCGCAGCAAAGTGGCATGTGTGGTGCCTGTCACTGCCACAATAGTGACCGCCTCCACTGGGGTGAACAACGAGTACCAGTTCTTCATGATGCTCATCAGCGCTGGTGGGCCTGGGAGTGGAGAGAGGGAATGGAGCAGGGTGTGTGTATGTGTGTGCTCGGTGCGTGCAAGACTGCCATTTCCCTCCCCACCCTGCAACCACTACCTCCGTATCCTCCCAGCTTCACCATGCAAAAGCTTCTTTTTGGGGGGTGTCTCACTATGCAGCCCCAATTGGCCTCAAACTCAAATATCTACCTACCTACCAGTGCCTCTCAAGAGCTGGGATAACAGGTGTGAGCCATCGTGCTTAACTGTTCTCATGGGGCTGGAGAGATGCTTAGTGGTTAAGAGCACTGGCTGCCCTTCCAGAGGACCTTTGTTTGATTCCTAGCAACCTAATGATAGCTCACAACCATCAGTGACTCCAAGGAATCCTCTGGCCTCCACAGATACCAGGTACAGATGTGGCACACAGATACATATGCAGGCAAAACACTCATACACATAAAAGTTAGTTAATTAAAACAATCAAGGCTCTTAGTCTCTTGGCCCAGGCCATCTCTCTTGGTTTGTGGCTCCTTCCCTGTTCTCCCTCCCTGTCTCTCCTCTCATGATTTGGTTTAGTCTGTCAACCTGGACTCTTCCCTTTGCCAGCTTTTTCCCTTATCTATAACTACAATAAAAACTACCCCCCCCATAAAAACCAAAAACCAAAAACAAGGTCTCATAGTCCAGGCTTACCTCAAACTTGCTATGTAGCTAAGGATCAACTGTGGTGCGCCTGCCTCTGTCTCTCGCGTGCTGGGATTAGACATGTGCCGCCATGTCCAGAGGATACGGCCGAGCGCATGCTAGGCCTGCACTCCATCAAATGAGCTACAACCCTTTCCTACTGGCTCTGGAGAGATGCAGTAAGGAACCTTGTTCCTGCCAAGTGATTACCCTACTGCTGAGTCTTGACATGGGGTCTCATTATGAGCCCAGGCTGGCTTATAATATGGGTATTCCTGACTTAACCTCCTCAGTGCTCCAGGTGAACCACCATGTCTGGATAGAAAATTTTCCCTTTTTCAGAGGACCAGGAGTGGCTGGGCTGGGTGGAAACCATTGGGGTGGCTAGGATCTGAGGCCTCCTCCCTACTCCTAACCACTTCAGCCTAGCCAGCTACCAGACGGTGCTCCTCCATCTATCCCACCTGATGATCCCCCTCCACCCCCCAGGATGGCCCACAGCTGGCAACAGGCAAGGGCCTGCTTTTGTTTTTATCTGTTTGCTTTGAGGTAGAATTTTACTATGATGGCTTAGCTGTCCTGGAATACCCTATGTAGCCCAGGCTGGCCTCAAATTCATAGATTTGCCTGCCTCTACCTCCCGAGTACTGGGGTTAAAGGGCTGCACCAGCATGCCAGGAAGGGCCAGTTTTTCTGGAGCCTGTCTGGTTTCCTCAGTTGTCTTTCCAAGTTACTTACCAATCTCTGTGGCACAGCTAACCAGCCAGCGAACCATCTCTCTGCGCCGCCAAGTCATTGTGTTCAGTGTCATCCGCATCACCTGCAGGGAAAGAGGAGGGTGGGTCCTCAGAGTCCAGCCGCGGCTGATGGCTTAGGTCCAAGAAGGCTGGAGGCAGAGCGAATGCGGCTGACATGGGTGAAAGCCCTCATCTCTCTGGTCTCAGTTTCTGGCTCTATAAAATAGGGATAAAGGGCTAGAGAGATGGCTCGGTGGTTAAAAGCACCAACTGCTCTTATAGAGGACCTGGGTTTAATTCCCAGCACCCACATGGCAGTTTACAACTGTCTGTAACTTCAGTTCCAGGGGATCTGATCT